GTTGTTTAGCTGTTTACGGTCCAAGAGTGAGTTTACGGCCGTAAACAGGTTTACGGCCGTAAACCCAGTTTGCGGCCCAAGTCAAGTATAAATAGAGGAGTTGTAGGTCTTTGTCTAGTTGTTGATGCCATAGTATTCACGGTTCATTCTGTCGAGTTGTACCAAACGTTTTTATGCAATAAACGTGTGCAAGCTTGATTTCTTTTCTTCTTCTATCTCTATTGTGATTGCTATTGATTGTTTGTTACTTGATCATTGGTAAGGATCCTTTTGACCTTACATTCCTTCCATAACAAATAGTGTTAGGTCCTCATCTAATGCATATATGTGTTACCATATGTTAATAGGATCCATTTGCATACGAAACATCAGTTGATACTCAGCATCCACACCGACCTTACGCTCGGATCATACGTCAAACTGTGAGTTCATACCCCTACATTTTCCATGTTTTTAATGTTTTCAGGGGGGGAATACAAGCTAAAAATAAATGTTTTCAAAACTCATGCAATTCTCATAGTTTAACCCTTTCGTACTGTGTTGAGCATAAGGGACATTTTCACTAAAATTACATAGTTTTCCGGACTCGCTATTCACTACATTATACATGCAAACTATAATCGGTATAGTTTGGGATTTTCTAAGCATAACAAGTACATAAACTTTCAGACAGAAATAGTTTACAATTTACATCAGTACTTTATCATGGTATTCATAACTGTAATTATCACTACATACAGTATACATACGGATTTTCACTACGGTAGAACGCTACTACACTACATGTAAACTAGATTGTACGATACTGTGAGGCGCTACTTCAATACTGTACCCTTAGGTGTACAGGGATAAATCCTATCATAGTATAACCAGAGTCTCCTGGAGGGAGAGCGTGAGATTTGTGAATAGATCTATTCGGGGCTGACAATCCCATACCTGAACTGCTAGCTACAGTTAGGCGGGCACGCCTGGGGTGTACAAATGTCATTTAACTCGACGCCTGAAGAACGTTGGAAAGGTCTCTAGTCATATCAAGCATGGTTATACGACTCACATTATGTATAAACCATCTTTAGTTTACAACCTGGCACTCTTCAAGAGTTTTATTTATACTAAATAGAACTAATAAACACTACAACTGGAGAACTTTCAGAGTTTTCAAACAAAACCGAATATAGAATGGTCTCACGCACGAAATACTTATACATCATGATTAGCATTAGCTAGTCACATGAAGTATTATTTTCGCACGTCACTACGTTTTCAGTAACAAACATTCACAATTTCATACATAATTGAGAACACTAAAGAAAATATCTGATTTTCTTGAAACTATACAAAACACTTTTTACGAGCTCATCAACAAGTTTTCATTACAAACTACCGCTTATGAACTCACCAGCTTTATGCTGATATTCTTTCAAACTGCTTGTATTCTCAGGAAATTAGTAGACAGGTACCTGCTGGATTTTTGAGGAATTGGAGCAATAAGAGTTTTATGCTTATATTCATACAAATTATTTGATGTAATTCAAACAAGTTTCAGACAAATTCCGAATTGATGTAAACATTTTTACTTTAGTATACACTCTAATGGTTGTGTTGCTATGATTGCTATTATACATTGGTTGTGATGCTATACATGACGTCCTCCACCCAGAACGTTTCCGCCATTCTGGTTTTGGGGTGTGACAATATACTATAACTTTCATTTAGATCTCTATGGCTAAAAAGTAGTTTATCAAAAATTCACTTTTAACGATTCCTGGTGACGTGCCGGTTTTGCCGTAAAACTTCGACAGGTCATAACTTCTTCGCTATAACTCGGAATTCGACGTTCTTTATATATACGGAACCCTTGTGACATATAATATAACTTGGTTAAGATTATTTATTCTAAATAATCTTCTATTAAAAAGTCATTTTTGACGCTTATTGTCTCTAAATTGACTAGCCCGAATCTAGGGGCGTTACATATTATCTTCAGCCTCCATCCCTCTAAACCCTAGATTCGAAACCCTATCCCCCATTTAAGTGGTTTTTGAGTTTTTGGTGGCATTTCATGCTTTTTGGTGTTCATAGAAGAAGAAGGAACTTCTTGGAGAAGTGTGAGATTGCTCGAAGCTATTGGATCCGGACTTGTTGCATCTTGATATACATTTTTGGGGTATAAAGTTTCTATCTTGATGAATCTGGGTGTTAGATCTAATTTATGGAGTATTTTGGGTTCATTTTGGTCGTTAGAGTCATCCTTGTGAGTATAAGCTAGTCCAAGAGCTTAGAATGTTGGATCCTAGCCTTTGGGAGGTCCCTTGTTCATAAAAATGTCATCTTGATGAATTATTTTGGACCATGGATGAGTTTGGATGTTTATTATGGATGTTATTAAGGATTTGGTCCCATTAAGCCATGCAAAGGAGTAAAGTTGCCAAATTTACGTGTTAAGACATCTCATTAGGGTCATATCTGAGTTTGTAAGTCATTGGCTTAACCATTAAAAGCTTAATATGGATTTTTGGTCCCTGATGAGTACGTTGGGCGTACGCAGGAAGTACGCTTAGCGTAATGGAGGTTTTGTGCATCAACCATTTGTACTCTGTGCTTTTAGGGTGAGTACATTGGGCGTACCATTCTGGTACGTGGGGTGTACTCCCCAGCATGTTATTTTGGGCTTTTTTAGGTTTGGGCCTTGTTGGGCCATTGGACTTCTGAATTTGGGCCATGTGTGGACTTATGGTTTTCTTAGAAGTAATTCCATGATGGTTTTGGAGCCCAATCAATTTATTGGGCCATAATGGGCTTTGTTGCTTTTGATTTGGGCTTTGGATTGCCATTTTGGGTTTTGGGCTTTTTATGCATTTTGGGTTGGGCCTTGGTTATGGAACAAGTAAGAAAAGGGTAAAATGGTCTTTTACCCTTTAGGAAGTTGGTTTATGGAGTGGGCCTCAGATTTTGGGACGTTACATAATAACCCATGCATCATTTATTTCAACCTTACCATCTATGTTGATTTTTGGTGCAAAATTCTTCATTTGACCTACTCTAGTTCCCGAGTCGACACAAAAGCCTTTTCTTCTTTCATCTTGCTTAGCCAAACATCTTGATATCATGTCTCTTTGAAGAAACCATCTTTATGATGACCATTCTTCCCATAAAAGGTACAATGTTTTGGTTGATCATTGTTTCCTCGCTTCGTATCCTTATGCACAAACCTTTTCTTTGGTTGGTTAAGATCAGTGATGGTGTCATTTCGTCTGGATGTAACAGTTTGGAAAGTCGTTGCTTCAACAAACGATCTCTTTGACACATAGATAGCTCTTTGTTGTTCATCTTGGGACACCAGGTGGTAAACAGTTCTCAATGTAGGCGTTGGCTTCATGGAAAAAAAATTGGGTTTTAATAAATGACTGTTCATTGTCTAACCTTATGTTGAATTCGTAGAGCCTCTATTTCCTTTGAATTTAGTCAACCTATTTCCGATTTCACAAGAGCAATCAGGTGCAACGGGGAACGTGTGAAACAAAATTTATTTCGTCCCAAAGGCTACACAGTTTTGTGTAGCAAGCAGACACGGAGGGACCATCTTGTTGTGTAGCTGTAAGCGATTGCTTTAATTTATAGGGCCCTTGTAGCACTTTCTTTCCCAAACCTTTCTTCAAGATCCGCCCATATCTCCTTTACAGTGTTGGCATAATTCACATTGGTTCTAATGTCTTTTTTCCATGGTTGTGGTCAACCATCCATTTATCATTCATTCGTTATGCATCCATAGCATGTAGTTCGACGAATTTCCTTCAGGTTTCCCGATCATCCCAATGAAAGCGATCTTGTTCTTGCAATAAATAAAATTATTCATCTCTTGTGTACAATCATGGTAGTTGTATGTCGTCAGTTAAAGCATCGTTCTAACTATTGAATGTAGACGGGAGAGTTAGGGGTGTTCGTTTAGATGGATTGGTTTAATCCGATCCAATCAAGTGAATCCAAATTGATTTCGATTTTCAAATCATAGATCCAAATAATCAAAACTAAATTGAAATCCGATTTGATCCATCCAAATTACAATTTGGTTGGATCGGTTTTTATAATTCGGTTTTTAAATCACGAAACATTTTAAAACCACATATAATTACAATATAATCTAATTTTATAGAAGAAACAAAAATTAATTATTTAGTTGTGGTTTAACATTTATGAACAACTACTAAAAATATATTATAATTTAATATTTTATAGATAAAAAAAAACTTTTAAGAATTTATGCAAATTAAGCTTTTTATTAAATGAAATTTTTGAATCTATTTGAAAAACTAAATTACTAAACTAATAAATATATTATATATATATATATATATATATATATATATATATATATATATATATAAAATAATAAATAAATAAAACATTGTTGTTCGGTTTTTTTTTTTTTTTTGGACTATTTGCTTTTTATGTTATAAACCAAACCAATCCGAAATGCAAAATAATAATTCAGTTTTGTTGAAAAGCAATGCAAAAATCCAAATAAATAAACCCAATAATCCAATCCAAATTTTACGATTGGACAATTCGGTTTTATTCGAATAGTGAACAACCCTAGGGAGAGTTGGCATCGACCAGAACTCCTCCTTCATCCTTCGACTTTTTCGGACTTGTCTCTGGCCATGTTCGGTAGGGTTTATCGCAAGTTCATGCTCTGCCTACTCTGATACCAGAAAGAATTTGATAGTTTAGAAAAGATTACTGATATCCTTAGGTCAAGGAAATTTAAATAAAGGAGTAACTCGAATTGTAGATAAACAAGGAACTATAAGCAAATAGTTATCAAACTAGGAATCGTAATAATACATAAATAAGGATAGATAATGTCCGATTTCTTTATGTTTTGCAGACTCGGTCCTTATGTTTTCCTAAAGATGCGGAAAAAGAAAGAAAAAGACTACAAATATTTTACCTCTTCATAAATGAACAACACCTAATTATCACCGTTTAGAACCTGAGAATCAATAACATAATCCGAATGATGGAGATAATCGAATACATTTGAGCGCACCACCTGAAGAAGCATGAGATGTAACCATGGATGAAAGAGTTGACTGAGCATAGAGTATGAATTAACAACGAATCAGAGGCGGAAGGTAAAAATGCTTTGATACCAAATTACATTGTTAAATTGGAATGAACTTCTCAGATTAACACGAAGATTACAATTACAATATATAGGAAAAATGGAAGTAGCTGACGTAAGCTCATAACTAACTAAACTGATCAACAAAATTAAGTAGTTCAAAAAAGAGGAATGAAATGACGAGATTGCCCTTGTTCTCTAATAATAATCAACTTTAATACCTTTAGGTTATTCAAAACGTATAAAGTCAAAATATTGTCCTCACACTTTTGATATTAATGACTTGCTAGGCAATGTTGTTCTTTGGGTTGTATTAACATGCTATTCAACTTTTTTTTTTTTGTTTTTTTTTTGTGACATTAGCATGTTACTTTACACATCATATTACCACCAAAATGTAATAATTAATTATACGATTCTATAACCAATAAAATACAACACCAAAATTATTTAACTTATTAATTCTTTATGTGATAGCGTTTGATTTTAATACAAGTTAATACATAGTTACAATTATAAAATACATTCCATTAAAATTCTGATGGTATATAGTTTATGGAAAAAGGACTTACCAACACAATCGCAAAGTTGCAAAACTGCTTGTAATTAAACGCAGGAAGAAGTTTTTCTTTCAACAATACTTTAATACTCAACTGCCTACTCCTACCTATCTTTCTAAGGGTTTACAGTAATTACATTTCATCTTTTCATTTTGTAAAGAAACCGATTAAAACTCAAAATTTCGTAAAAGACCTTCATGTTGTAGAGGCACTATGGTAAGAATAGTACTGTTATTAGTTGAAACTTGCTGTTGGGGTGTTGAGGATGTGGCGCTGCTATTCCCACCTGTGACAATCTTTTGACACGTGTCAAGTAGGGAGTGCCTGCAAGTTGGACAAGATGAATGTGAACTCAGCCATTTATCAATACAACGCACATGAAACCCGTGGTTGCACTTTGGCAGAATTTTGACTCGTTCTCCTGTTGAAAAATCTCCTAAGCATATCACACATTCCTTGCCCAATCCTGGTAGCTTCAATCCTTCCCAATAGCTGACTGTGGGAAAAGTCTTTAATGCCTTTTTCTTGATTCCAGTGTTGGCTTTAACTAAAGTACTTTCCTGGCTACTGCTGCTTTCTGAACCAACTAAGCGTGTGCATTTAAATACACACCTGATGATGGAGTTCAAGCCTATTGAACAAATTAGAGCGCATAGAAGCACCGACAACACCATCACGACATTCGCATCAAAGTTGCTATGTTCTGTATGTGGGGTTGATGGTGGTGGAGCAGCTGGTTGTTGGTTTGAATAAGGGTGAAGTAGAAGTTTTCTGGAATTAAAATGCCCGAATGCATGTTGAAAGAGCTCAGTAGATAGCCTTGGCATGTTTAGATGCTTGAGTATGATCAATGGTTTGTTTAGATGGGAATTCAATGGAAGAAAAAAGTACGTGTATATATAGAGGAGCGATTAGAGTAGCGTCCCACTTTGTGTAATTTGATTAAAGGAGGATATTCGTAGAGGATTTGAGACACCATGTGGGATTTTATCTCTTTGTCTTTCTAATAAATTTGATCTCCACCATTTGGATCTTCCACTAAGGCATGTGTGTTTGTTTAATAATGGTATTTCTATTGAAATGGGTCCGGCGCACTTTCTCCAAGTCAAATAATGCCATGCGTACGTGGCGCTTTTCTCTTTCACTAACTATTTCTTCTTTTTTGCTATTGAAGGATGGTTAACGCTTTCGAGAACGATTGGGTAATTAACCACTTTTCTTTTTTGCTCATGTTTAATGAAACGTTTTTAATAGGATGATTGCTATACAAGAAAAGTCCTCGTTAGTAACCAGTTTTTTTAGTGACTATACAAAATCTAGTTACTACCAGCATCCTTTAGTTACTATATTAACTTTTCTTTTGGTATGTATCAATATCAAAGTCTAAGGTGCTCCATGTTTATCCGATGAATTATGTTCCTGCTCCAATATATAATTAAATGACCCATTATTAAAAATTGGATCTCTTAGCCCATTACCTTCACGATTAGTGTTAAGTTAACCTTGCCCAGGATTTCTAAATTGATCACAAGGCCCAATAGGAGGGTCCGGATGTGCATCAGCGCCATTATTTCCCTCCATCTGAGTATGGACATCAATTACCTTGGAAATCTTCACCAAGTCTTCCCGCAGCGACGGTACATCTTCCATTATTGCCGCCGACAACAATTGCGCCCCACCCATATCCTCGGTGGCCGCCGGCGGAGTTACCGGAACGTCTGGAGCAATTTCACCATCTTCCAAATCGTTCCTTTCATCTACCCATGTTTCTGAAATCCCTTCTTAGTGTATTGGATTTTCAAATTGTGTTCCATATTATATA